TTAAAATGCAACAGGCAGAATTGCAAGGTCAAGCAATTTTGGCTTCTTCCTTTCTGAGCAGGGACAGCATAACTTTGGACTATTAGCACAGACTCACAGACATTAGGTTATCCTGCAGTATCAAACACAGTGTGTTTTGCTGGTAATACTCACAGACAGTGGTGATAGCTTATGCCAACATTATGCTATAATGTTAAAAAACCCACCAAAAATAACAATGCTGTGTATGGAATGTAACAAATTTTATTACTTCCTCAGAAAACCAACTTTACTGCAGTTGTTTTCCGAACTTGCTTTTCCATTTCCTCTGTTAACTGCAGACATTTCCCACTTGACTGCAGTAAAAATCCAAAATAAAAAAATTAATACCCAGCTTTTAGGACTGTTCTAAAACTGTAGAAAATAAATAATAGAACTTGGAAAACATTTGGTTTTCATATGATGTAATGTAGAAATGATAAACAAAAATTACTTATTCCATATTAGGATTCCTGTGAATGTGAAATTTCTGCATATTGTTTTCTATAACTAATCACTTGTTATGTAACAAGTGTTAATTCTATTCTTACTGAAACTGGCTGAAAACCATTAGAAAACATGGAATTAAGTTTCAGCTCTAAAATTTTAACCAAATTTTGGAGATATGACAAACCTGAGGAGGAGCTTAGTGAAACGCTGTCATACATATACTTTCCTGAAATCAGGGGGGACAGGCACAGTTATGTGGGTGCAGAAAGAGCCTAAAGCCGGGTCACCAAGACAGGTCTGCCTGCTTGATTTTGAATGTCCCATCACATCATCCTTTTCCTGCATGCCTCCAGGGTATATAGAGGCACAAAATAATGAGGCAGAGATTCACCTTGCAGCTTCAAGGAGAGAATTCCCCACCCAAACTGGCCACAATATGTGTCTACATGCAGAAAGATTACCTGTACTTTATTCAGATAGTTATTTACTGGTTACAGTACCTGCAGCACACACTGACCTCAAGAATAAACATTCCTTCCTGATTTTGTAGCTAAATTCCACAGAACAAATTAATGGTATTCCACAAACACCAAAACCAGATAATCTTCCAGTCTCCTGAAGTCAAAGAGCTTGCTGCCTGGTGAGGTAAAAGGACACTAAAACTGCAGGGAAAACTCCCTCAGAGTCTTTCTCTAAAACACTCACCCCTTCACAGGATTCCGCTGCTTTTGACTCCAGGTTTCTGACCAAACAACACACACCAGACAGAATTAAAGGATAAACTCACCAAAACTGTCGCAGCAGCTGCTTGCTGGTCCCTGCTAGTTTTGCAATGCTGATGAAATTCCTCCCATTAAACAGCATCTTCTGTTTGCATTAAGACTTCTCTTAACCCACAACAAATGTATGAGAAAGGAAGGTGTAGGAAGCAGAGAGTGAGTTGTGCTGCTGTACAAATGAGGGAAAACCAAGAACCAAGGTCCAAGGTTTTGGCTGTTCCAGACAGGGCTGGGCCAGGCTGGGGCTGACCCTGAACCTTTTCTTTGGTCAAACCCTACAGATACAGAGATTTCTCCCAGGGTCAATTGCACCACTCGCAGTTTGTGCTCTTCCGTGTAGGCTCATCATCCTGTGTCAATACTATTTCATAGCTATTTCATGCTAAATATTTGTACAGGAGCATGTGCTGATAGAAAAAGGCAAAAGAAGACTTGCAGGATCAGCATGAGCAGAGTGGCCCCTCTAGAGATGGGACTGTGCCCATGGGGGCTCTAGCGTAGCCCAGGAAGGGACTGCTGGCCCTGAGCTGAGCCAAAATGAGGCCTCTGGGCCCATGGGTATGGAACTGCACAGGGCATAAAGACTTATTCATGCTTTGGGGGCCCTGATAATAATGAAGTAGTCTGCATTAAAGAAATTGACATTGTGCTTTTTTTGGGGGGAGAGTTGTTTGGTTTTTGCTTGAGGGTTTTTGTTTGTTTGTTTGTTTGGGGTTTTTTTGGTGTTTTTTTGGTTTGTTTTTTTGTTTTGGTTTGGTTTTTTTTGTTTTTTTTATTTGGTTGGTTGGTTGGTTGGTTGTTTTTTTGGGTTTTATTTGTTGGTTGGTTTTGTTTGGTTTTTTTTGTTTCCAAGTTTTCAATTATTCTGTGGTAGTGTTAAACAGTGTGGGGCCCAGAAAGTGAAATATTGCAGCCTGCCTACCTCCTTAGGCTAAACTGCTTACTGTATAATCTGAAGTAGGTCAATTGTTAAATACTAAAGTGATTTCATTTAAGTTTCTACCTTCAAATATAATTGTCAGATAAGATTTTATGCCACCTGCACTGTAGGTGGTTTTGAAATATGACCATTACTTTCTCATTTCCTCCTCCCTGCAAGGAGAGACGCACTAGTGTAAATCAGGGCGATGGCATATCTGTCAGAGAGGGTGACACGTTGAAATTAAAATGCAAGGAACTTATAATTAAAACATACAGAGAGAAAGTTTGACTCCCTGGGAAAGACAGACAGCTGTGAAAAAGTCATGCAGAGTGATAGCTCCTGGTGGGATTTGTTCACGACCCCTCATGCTGAACCAACCCTGAGATGTTTGAGAAATGAATCAGCTGTCAGGGGAAATGTCAAACAGAAGTAAAATCCAAAAGAAATTAATAGTAAAGGAATAGAAGAGAAGAAATGGAAGAAATAGAAGAAAGGGAAGAAAGAAGAAAGAGAGGAAGAGAAAAGAGAAGAGAAAGAAGAGAAGAGAAGAGAAGAGAAGAGAAGAGAAGAGAAGAGAAGAGAAGAGAAGAGAAGAGAAGAGAAGAGAAGAGAAGAGAAGAATGTCAGGCCATGGTTTCCCTCTTGGTTGTCTTCTGGGAAATAACTCCCATGACTTTCAAGCCCGTGGGGGCTGAGCCTGTGTCATTAGTGATGCCCAGGAGAAAAGAGCAGACAAAGCAAATGTGGTCATGGTGCCAAGGCTGCCAGTGTCCTCCTGCAGCCTCACAGGGAGGGCACAGTGCCAATGCCTCTTTGTCAGGTCACACCTTGTAGCAGGTCTGGCTGAGCTGGAGTTCCTTTTCCCATAGTAGCCCTCACAGTGCTGGGCTCTGCACTGGTAGCCAGAAAGGTGTTGATACCACACCAAGATTTTTGGGTACTGCTGAGCAGCACTGGCACAGCATCAATCCTGTCACTCCAACTTCCCACCCTCCATCAATAGGTTGGGGGTGGACAAGATCTAGGGAGGGGACAGCTAACCCAAATTAACCAAAGGGATATTTTATATCATATGATGCCAGCTCAGATATAAAAGCTAAAGAAAGGAGGAGGAAGGGGGATCATTCATTATTTTACAATATGTGCCTTCTGGAGCAAAGATTAGGTGCTTAAGTCTTGCTTCCTGATAATAGGCTGGACATCACCTGCTGACGGGAAGAAGAGAAAAAAATTTTTTTGTTTTTTTGCTTTGCTTTTGTGCATGCAACCTTTCATTTTTGCTTTAGCAAACTGCCTTCTCTCGACCTATGCTTCCTGTCTTATTTTCTCTCCTCTGTCCAGCTGAGAAGGGGTAGAGATGAAGTGGCTTGGTGGGCACCTGGTGCCCAGTGAAGGCCAATCCCCCACACCCCTGTACAGAAGCTGCCTGACCCCAATTCCCACATGGACCAATTTCATAGCAAGCTCCTGTGAGCAAGTCACCTAAGAGGAAGGGAGTACAGGCGCTGATGGTGGAAAAGGAACAGCAGATGTCAGAAGGTCCAAAAAAAACTTACAAAGTTTTATTAGTAAATTATACATGTAACATGTAAATTGGTATGTTAGCTCATTTTCTCCTAGTAGCAAGATAAATAAATTAATAATAATAATATTAATAATAGTAGTAGTAGTAGTAGTGGCAGTAGTAGTAGTACTAGTAGTAGTAGTAGTAGTAGTAAAAAGGTGGGAAGAGAGAGAAAAGGACATAATTGGTCCCGGGTCGAGGATCAATCTGGCCAGCAAGAGGTTCGGGGTCTTCAAGGGCACCACCTGGGCACTGTGGGGGTCGATTTTATAGAGAAGCTTTCCCCAGCAGCTCAGGGCACTGTGCCAGTCCCGGTGCCACCCCACTGCCAGTGTCAAGGGAGGTGGTGGAGCCACCACCCCAGGAGATGTTTAAGAAAAGACTGGATGGGGCATTGAGTGCCATGGTGGTGCTGGCTGTAGGTGGTACACAGTGATCCCAGAGGTTGTTTCCAGCACAGCCCATCTTGTGATGCCATGCCCACATCTGTG